GAGCAAGAACCCCTCTCTACTATAAATAGAAAAAATTAATTGGCCAACTAATATATATATGAAAAAATTAGCTGGCATGGTGGGCACATGCCTGTAGTCCCAGCTACTGGGAGGCTGAGCAGAAGGATTGCTTGAGCCCAGGGAGATTGGTTGCTGTGTCTAGGCTGATGCCACGGCACTCACTCTAGCCTGGGCAACAAAGTGGAAGGGCGGCCGGGCGCAGTGGTTCACGCCTGTAATCCTAGCACTCTGGGAGCCGAGGCCGGCGGATTGCTCGAGATCAGGAGTTCGAAACCAGCCTGAGCAAGAGCAAACCCTGTCTCTACTATAAATAGAAAGAAATTAATTGGCAAACTAATATATATATAGAAAAATTAGCCGGGCATGGTGGCGCATGCCTGTAGTCCCAGCTACTTGGAGGCTGAGGCAGGAGGATGCACTCGAGCCCAGGAGTTTGAGGTTGCTGTGAGCAGGCTGACGCCACGGCACTCACTCTAGCCCGGGCAACAAAGCGAGACTCTACCTCAAAAAAAAAAAAAAAAAAAGAAGTGGAAGGGGGCCAGGCGAGGTGATTCACTCGTGTAATCCTAATATTCTGGAGGCTGAGATCACTTGAAGGTCAAAACAACTTAATTGTCTTTTATTGTCTGTTTCTGCACAATGCAAAATCCAAGGGGAGGACTTACTTTTGGTCTATATTAGGTGTTAAAGAAAAAAAAAACACAACGGCACCAATAACTTTGTTTCTTTGTTTTAATTGAGACAGGGTCTTGCTCTGTCACCCGGGCTGGAGTGTAAGCATAGCTGGCTGCAGCCTCCAACTCCTGGGCTCAAGTGATCCTCCTCCTGCCTCAGCCTCCCAAGTAGCTGGGACTACAGGGTCTCGCTATGTCGCCAAGGCTGGTCTTGAACTCCTGGGCTCAAGTGATCTTTCCACCTGGGACCCCCAAAGTGCTAGGATTACAGGCGTGAGCCACCCCACCTGCAATGTTAATCATAGTGATTCATGGTGCTACTGTGCATCAGTCTGTTTTAAGCTCCTTATATAAATTATGTCCTTGAGTCCTCAGAGCAGCCCTATAAGATAAGAACTGAGGAAGCCGAGGCCCGGAGTAGTTAAGGGACTTGCCTGAGGTTGCACAGCCAGGAAGTCGCAGCGCTGGGTTGGAAATCCAGGAAGCCCAGCTGCACAGTGTGATTTTGCTAAACAGCTGAATGGGGGCCCAGGGCTGGAAAAGCAGCCACCCAAGGCTTCAGGCATTGTGCCCCTGTCCCAAGACCTGTGTTTCCTGGTCCCCACAGCTCACACACCGAAGGCCCAGCCCCCGTGTCCCCCACTGGGCTGGGAGGAGGTGTGGGAACCCAGCAGGTTTGGGTTTACTCTTTTCTCCCCTGCTGTGGGTTCACAGAGCCACCGCCCAGGCTGCCCGGATGGGGAAAGTGATTAAAAGCTGGTCGGAGCACCCAGACTCCACTCTCCAGACAGCAGGGTCAACTGCCCAGGACCCTGAGCCCAGGCCTAGACTGACAGACGGACGCACGGACAGGCAGATGCCCCTTGGCTGGCTAGCCGCTCTCCTGAGCCTGCTTAGTGGGGTCCCGCTACCCAGGGGCTCCGGGGGGCCTGGATTCCAGCCCTGGGCTGCAGCCAATGAGACCCCGGCTCTGGACCGAGGGGCCCCGGCCCCCCAGGTGCCGGCCCCTGCCCTTGGCAGCTGGAAGGCCTTCTTGGGGCTGCAGAAAACCAGGCGGCAGGAGACAGACGCCCTGCAGCGCAGGCAGGAGGTGGCCACTGCCCTGTCTCTGCCGCTGGACCCGCAGGAAGCCACCCAGGAGATGTGTAAGGCTGTGCCCTTCATTCAGGTGAGCGGTGGCATGGGGCAAAGGACAGGGCTGGGGCTCAGCCTTGGCAGAGGGCACAGGCTGTGTGCCCGGACAGATTAGAGGTCAAGTTCTGTATCTGCCTCCTAAATGTCTCTGAGCCTCAGTTTCCTCCCTTGTGAAGTAGGGCACAAGCCTCTCCCATTGGGGTGGGTGCCGTTGCCTCCATGCTAGCCTCTGGCTTCTGCCATCACCGCTCTTCTTCCCGCCAAGTCTATTTTTCCATTCTGCCGCCAGAGGGCGCCTTGAACACCCGAGTTGGGCCACACCTCTCCTCCCCTCAGAACCCTCCATGGCTCCCATCTGACTCAGAATAAAAGCCCAAGTCCTCCTCATAGCCCACAAGGTCCTGCCCTCTCAGACTCTGTTTCCCCACTGATTTCACCTCTTCCCCCTTCTCTCCCTCACTTCCTTCACCCCTAACACACCAGCCTCCCTTTCCTCAGACATGCCAACTTTCTATCCACCCCAGGACATTTGCACTGGCTGTGCCTTATGCCTCAGCGCTCTTCTTCCAGCCAGACAGCGCATGGCCCCTTCTCTCATTTCCTTCAGATTTTTACTCAAATGTCATCTGTTTCAAAATGTGGGCCGGGCATGATGGCGCATGCCTGTCATCCTAGCACTTTGGGAGGTGGAGGCGGGAGGATCGCTTGAGGCCAGGGGTTCAAGACCAGGTGTATCTGAGTTCAAATCCTGCCTTCATGGCTGATTTCTGGGTGACTCAGGGTGGGTCAGTCACCTTCCCTTCTCTGGGTCTCAAAAGGAGTTAATAATAGTGGAAGATTCATGCAAAGTGCTTGAGACCCTGCCCGGCAGGGCCACGGCATCAGTCCCTAAGACCCCCTGGCTCAATCCTTGCTCAGCAAACCTTCACTGAATCCGGTTTTGGTTTTGGTTTTTCTAGAGACAGAGTCTTGCTCTGCCACCCAGGCTTGCAATCATATCATAGGCCACTGCAGCCTCCAACTCTGGACTCAAGGGATCCTCCTGCCTCAGCCTCCCTCCCAAGTAGCTGGGACTACAGGTACACACCACCATGCCCAGCTAATTTTTAAAATATTTTTGCAGAGATGGGGTCTTGCTATGTTGCCCAGGCTGGTCTCGAACTCCTGACTCCAAGTGAGCCTCCTGTCTTAGGACTCGCAAAGTGCTGGGATTACAGAAGTGAGCCATCATGTCTAGACAGAGAGAACATTTATTGAGCACCAACTGTGTGCCAGGCAGTGGGCTCCTGCGATATTGCTATCCCTCAGCCTTAGGGGTGGTAGCGGGTTCCTACTGGTGCCAACCCTTAGCCCACCTTGTCACCACCTCTTGCTTGGTGTTTCAGCCCTTCTCTCCCCTGGGTTGCAAAGTCCCTGAATGAATCCTCTCCGATGAAAGGCCTAGAGCAGGGGTCCTCAAACTTTTTAAACAGGGGCCAGTTCACTGTCCCTCAGACCACTGGCCGTTGGATGGTGCAGCGCACATTCCGCACATGCGCACTGTGGGCCCCGGACGAGCCGGCTGCTAAGCAGGACAGGCAATGGCGGCGAAAATACCCAGATAAATGTCCTTGGCGGGCCAGGGCGGTAGTTTGAGGACGCCCGGAGAGTGATTTGTTCTTTTCCTAGTTGAACTTCAGTGATTTTTACAGGTGAGGAAACAGAGGTCCAGAGAGGTTGAGTAATTTGCCCCAGGCCACACAGCCAAGAGAGAGGGCAGAGTCGGGACCCGAACTCAAGCAGCCCAGCTCCAGCACCTGCGCCTCCCGCGGTGGGGTGGATGGAAGTGGGAGGCCCCAGACTCCGCTGCCCTGACCGGTGTCCCCCCCTCTGGCCGCAGGTCCTCTCCCGACCAGGCTGCACGGCCGCCCGCGTCCGCAACCACCTGTGCTTCGGCCGCTGCTCCTCCCTGTACGTCCCCAGCTCGGACGCCGCGCCCGCGCCCACAGTCCTCTGCAGCCGCTGTGGGCCCTCCCGCCGGCGCCGGGCCCCCGTGCTCCTGTGGTGTCGCAGCGGCAGCCCGGCCGCCCGGCGGCGGCGGGTGAAGATCTCCGCGGAGCTGGTCGAGGGGTGCCGGTGCGGCCCGGAGGCCTGAGCACGGGCACCGAGACGCCACGCGGGAGGGCTGGGGAGGGGCGGCGGGAGACGCACCAAGAAAGACGCCCGAGTGCCCTTCGTGGGCCAACAGACCAGGGATGCAGGGATAAGTGGACAGGACAGTCCCCAGAGTCCCCACCCTGCTCCCAGGCACAGTAGACACAGCCCCAGTCACGGGGTTGGACCACTGATAGTTATAGCGCTCTCTTATTAGCCACCTCCTGTTTGCCAGGCCCTGTGCTGAGCCTTGGGTGGGTACTAACTTGTGTAATCCTCGCAGCAGCCCAAGGAGACAGTAGGTAACGCCACCCCATTTTACAGATGAGGAAACCGAGGCCCAGAGAGGCAGGGTCACCCACCCGGGGTCACACAGCAGTCAGTGGCACCCCCGAGGATTCAGGTCCGAGGCAGGGCGGCACCCAGTCTTGACCACCAGGCTGAACTGCCTCCCAGGTAACGAGGCACAGACACACTCCCAGCCACAGGGAGGACAGATGGCCCTGCCCAGACCAGGACACGCAGCGATGACCCCGTCCTAGGGACACCAAAAGCCCAAAGCAGGCAGGCAGACGCAGCTGCCGGGGAAAACCTGGGGTCCCCGAGACGGAGGCAGGCCCCGCGTGTTCCCAGCTGCCTCTGGCCTTGGCCGCGGCGGCTGCCACGCTCCCAGCCCACCCCGGCGCCCCCCGGCCTGCGCGCAGCACGGCATGCCACGGGAACCATAAACGTTGGCCCAGCCCAGCTCTGCGCGTGCGCGTGTGTGTGTGCGCCTCCAACTGGGGCTCTCTGGAAGTGGGTGGCCCCAGGATGGGGTGCGGGGGCACTGGGGGCTCCCTCCCCAGCTGGGGTGCAGGGTCTGCGGCAGGCGAGGGCAGCCTGGCTTGGGGCGGCTGGAACCAGGGCCCTGGCAGATGGGCCCGTCTGGCAGAGACGCAGGGACATGTGGCGCTGTCAGTGTTGCCTCCAAATGCCCCCCGGAGCGTGGGGGGGGGCGGCCGGGCCCTTCTCAGCCCTCTTCCTGCTTCAGGAAGGAAGGCCCCAGGTGAGGGGAGCCGGAGGGACCCGAGGAAACAGATGGCCCGGCTGGGCGTGGGAGCCTGAGACCCCTGACCCCGACGACCGGCACCAGGGGGTGGGAACGGGCCAGGCGGGCAGCTCCCAAGGCCCCACGCGCAGGGCCCTGGAAGGGAGGGCCACGAAGGGCCCTGGGGGCACCCCTCCCTACTGCCTCCAGGGTTCTTTGCCAAACCCCAGGCAGCGTCCGAGTGGGCAGCCCGGCCCTGGCACCGCGGGCACCCCTCCTCTCTGGCGGGCACAAGGCGTCTGCTCCCCCCCTCAGCTGTGCCCACCTCCTGCCAGCCGGGGGAGCCAGCTGGGAACCTAAATGCCAGGGGGGCCCCGGAGTCCCTGCCCCCTCCCGGGCAGTGCCAGCCGGCCCCCACCCCCGCCCTCCAGGCCCAGTAATGGGTGGGTAATGAGCGCTGGGGAGCGGGGGAGGGGCGGGGATGCAGGTGCCACAGGCGCTGGCACGGGGGCCGCTAATCAGGTTTGCCAACGCCATCTGTCACCGCGCGAGCATCTGGGGCTCAAGGTGACCCTGTCACCCTCAGTTACAATTATGAGTTTGGCATCTGTATTAAAGCCCGCCCGCCGGCCAGGCGGGGGAGGGCTGGGGTGGGCAAGGAGGTGCACAGCGAGCCCCGTCCCTGGGGTCCCGTTCCCAGAGGCTGTGTGGCTGCCAAGGCATGGGGCTTCTCCGTGCTTGGGGGAGTGTGTGTGTGTGTGTGTGTGTGTGTGCGCGCACGCTCATCTCAGCCTCCACAGTGTTGTGTCTGGGGCTGCAAGTTGTGGGTTTTGTGTGTCTGTGTGGGGTGGTTGTGCATCTCCAAGTTTGGCGGGACAGCCGGGGACGGGGCTCTGAGATTACGCGGGTGCACAGATGTGCACATCTGCATCTGAGGAGCGTGCGGTGGTGTGTCTTCGGGTGATGGTGTGTAAGGCTGTAAGTGTGCGTATGGGTGACCCTGTGTGTGTAATTGTGTGTGTGTATATCTGAGAGTGAGCGACGCTGTACATCTGACAGTCACAGGCTGTGTGTCTGGGGCTGGATCTCTGTGTGGTTTCCTTTTGGGGTGTCTGTGTCCTTGTGTGTGTGGGTAAAGGGACCCAGGACAAGGACAGCAGCAGGGCAGGGCTGTGTGTGGTCATTCCCAGGCTCCCGTCCTGCTCCTCTGATTTGTCCCAGACCTCCCCAACCCTGCTGCCAGCTCTCATCTGCAGGTCTCCGAGGAGGGCTCAGGGCTCTGGGCTTTGTAGGGTGGCCTAGATTCTACATTCGGGGTTCTTGGAACTGGATTCCGGGTCCGGACTCTAGTTCTGAATAACAGGATCTAGATTTCTGGACTCTGGACTCTGGCATATGGGGTCTTGGGTCTGGATTATGGGTTGTTGCACCTGGATTTTAGACTCCGGGTTCTGATTTCTTGGATCTGGACTCTAGATCTTGGTCCTGTGGGGATCTAGGTTGTGATCCTGGATCCTGGAATCTGGATTACCGGCTCTGGATTCTGGGTCTGACTCCCACTTCTGGATTCCAGTCTCTGCGCTCTGTGCGCCCAGAGGGGCCTGTCAACTCTGCCCCACCACTTTCTGGCTCTGCAACTTAGCTTGCCTGTCATTCCCCCAACGGATGGGTGCAGAGACCACATATGGCCACCAGAGGCCACCCTTGGCCTAGGTTTGGTCCTAGACCAGGCGGAGCCAGGGGACCACCTGGCCCAGCCTGACCCAGGGCTTTGAAGGGGACTAGGGGTGGGGCTTCACCCATCTCTTTGGGCATCTCAGTCTCTGCTGGGGACTGGTGTCTGTCAGCCCGCGCTGACTCGGATGTGGAGACCTGGACCCAGCGTCCCGGCAGAGCCCCGAGCAGGACCGTGGCATGTGGCGCCTGCCCAGTCAGCATGTCAGATGCAGGGTTGAAGGTGCATGTGTCTGTGAGGTTGTCAACGTGTGTCCGAAAACATGTGCCCCGGTGCAAGGGTGAGGGCGCCCCGTGCTCTGGGGTGGCTGCATATGACAGCACTCTGGGGCAGCGTGAGCCTGTGTGATGGCGTGTGGCCACAGCTGACTGTGACACAGTCCTCCTGAGACTGCACCTGTAGTAGTGTCACTCTGGTGCAGGGTAAGAGTCCCTGTATGAGTCCCTCTCATAGGCATGTGTCTGTGTCCACGGTTATGTCACTGGGCGTCTAGGGGTGTGTCTATAGCTGTGACTGTGTCCGTATGGGTGAACTGTCACTGTGTCTTCCATGACAGTGTGAGTCTCTGGGTGAAGGTGTCCCCAAAGGCTGGGTCTCTATGGCGATGGCGTCTTCTCAGCACGTGTGTGAAGATGTCTAGAACAGACTGGGCGTGGTGGCTCACGCCTGTAACCGTAGCACTCTGGGAGGCCCAGGCAGGAAGATCGCTGGAACCCAGAAGTCTGAGACCAGCCTGAGCAAGAGCAAGACCCTGTCTCTGCAAAAATAAATAAATAAATAAAAATTAGCCGGGTGTGGTGGCGCAGGCCTGTAGTCCCAGCTACTTGGGAGGCTGAGGCAGGAGGATCGCTTGAGCCCAGGAGTTTGAGGTTGCTGTGAGCTATGATGGCACCCCTGTACTCTAGCCTGGCTGACAACAGAGTGAGACCTTGTCCAAAAAAAAAAAAAAAAATCGTAGGACAGAGGATTTGCCTTCTGGGAGTGTCAAGCCAGAGGCGGGTGGGACCAAAGACCCTCAGAGCAGGGAGCTGGGGTCCTGTCTCCACGTTTCTCTCCTTCATTCCATCCCGCTGTGTCTCTCCATGGCCCGGTCTCCTCCCACCACTCTGGTTTTCTCTGTCAGGGGGTCCTTGTCCACTGCCAGGCGCAGTGGGCTCCGTGGGTCTTGCTGACTGGTCCTGTCCAGGTCTCCCGCCGCAGCGCACCCTCTTCCGCCTCGGCCCCGGCTCTGCCTCTCTCTGGTCCTCTTCCTCGGCCTGCCCTTCCTCGGTTGTCTGTGTCCGTCTTGCAGCTCTCCGCCGTGTCGCTGTTTCTCCCTCTTGGATTCCCCATGTCTGTCTTTGCCCTCCTCTGTCTCTGTCTCTGTCTCTGCTGTGTCTCTCTGCCTTTTTGCCGGTCTGTGTCTCAGTTCTCCCCCTCCGTCTCCTCTCGCCCCTGACTCGCTGGCCAGACTCTTCCTACTTGTGTCTCTCTCCATATATCTCCATCTCTGTCTCTCTCCATCTCTCCCAGTCTCTCCCCATCTCTCCCCATCTCTCCCTTTATCTCTGTCTCTCCCCATCTCTCTCTCCTGTTTTCTCCATCTTTTCGTCTCTCCCCATCTCTCCCTTTATTTCTATCTCTCCTCATCTCTCTCAGTCTCTCTCCTTCATCTGTCTCTCCCCACCCAGTCTCCCTGTCTCTCCCAGTCTCTCTCCATCTCTCCCAGTCTCTCCCCATCTCTCCCAGTCTCTCCCCATCTCTCTCTTTATCTCTGTCTCTTCCTATCTCTCCCAGTCTCTCTCCATCTCTCTCTCCCCTTTTCTCCATCTTCTCATCTCTCCCCATCTCTCCCTTTATCTCTGTCTCTCCTCATCTCTCTGTCTCTCTCCTCCATCTCTGTCTCTCCCCACCCAGTCTCCCTGTCTCCCTCAGTCTCTTCATCTCTAGTTTCTGCCATCTGTTCCTTTTCTCATCTCTCAGTCTCCCCGGCTCTCCCTGTCCCTCGCCATCTCTGTCTCCCCGCATCTCAGATCTCTGTCTCTCCCCGTCTCTGGTCTCTCCCTGTCTCTCATGGCTTCTTTTCTCCCCGTCTCTCTCTGTCTCTCCCATCTCCGTCTCTGCCGGCCCGGGTGGGTCCGGGTGGGTCCGGGACAGCCCGGCCCGGGCGCCGGAGCGAACAATGCCCCATTCACGCGGCCCGCCGGCGCCATGGCAACGCGCCCGCCCCGCCCTCCCCGCGCGCGGGCCGCGCGTGCCAAGAGGATGCCATGGTTACGTCA